GAAGAACTCAAATCACTCTATAAAAAAGACACCTGCACACGTATGTTTATCACAGCATTGTTCACAATAGCAAGATCATGGAACCAATTATGCTGTCCATCAAAAGAGGACTGGATTAAAAAAATTTGGTACACATACACAATGGAATATTATGCAGCCATAAAAAAAAATCATGAATTTCACAGCAACCTGGATGGAATTAAAGTTCATAATACTGAGTGATCTCTCACAGGAACAAAGATCTGAGTATCACATGTTCTCACTCATAAGTGGTCCTTGAACAACTATCGTAATACCATAAGAAAAGGATTGACAGTGGTGGGAAACTATGGGGGACAGAGAGGGGAAGGGAGGTGGGATTAATGGTAGTCAATATCTGTCTGGGGATGGGAGGCATACCTCATCAACAAGGGTACCTGTACAATGCATATTTGTATACCTAACCTTTAACTGTACCCACAATTTTAAAATTTAAAATATGTTAAAAAATATTTTAAAAAAACATAAATTTTAAAGTATGTAAAGTTCCCATATACCACACTTCCTTCCCCACCACAACCCTCAATTTTCCCATATTAATATCTTTCACTAGTGTAGTACATTTATTGAAATTGATGAACAAATATTGACACATTAACTGAAACACATAGTTTACATTAGTATTCACAATTTCAGTTGTACAGTTATATGGGTTTAGACAAATGTTTGACATGTATCTACCATTACAGTACCAGGCAGAAGAATTTCACTGCCCTAAATATCTCCTGCACTCCATATATCCATCCCTCCCTCCCCCGAACTCATGTAAACCACTGAGCTTTTTACTGTCATTATAGTTTTGCTTTTTTTCTAAATGTCACACAAATGGAATAATATAGTATATAGCCTTTCCAGATGACTTCCTCCATTTAGTAATATGCATTCAAGGCTCTTGCATATCTTTTCATGGCCTGATAGATCTTTTATTTTATTGTCAAATAATATTCCATTGCATACATGTACCAGAGTTTGTTTATACATTTACTTATTAAAGAACACCTTGGTTGTTTCCAACTTTTGGCAATTATGACTGTATCTACTATCAATATTTGTATACAGGTTTTTGTGTGATCATAAGTTCTCAATTCATTTAAATAAATATCAAGAACTATGACAAAAAATTGAATCTATGCAAAGGATATTTATAACACACATAAATTTAGAAATGTAAGGCTTAGTCTTAGAAGTTCACCCCTCTGTGGCCTCCATTCCCGTTTTCTCTGGGCTCATCTCATATCCATGCTAACAGTACTCTTAACTTGAAATTATTTAGGTATCACTCATTTTTCCCTTTCTTTTTTTTTTTTTTTTGAGTTGGAGTCTCACTCTATCGCCCGGACCGGAGTGCAGTGGCCGCTCCTGGCCACCGCAGCCTCAATCTGCTGGGCTCCGGCGATCCTTCTGCCTCAGCCTTCCAAGTAGCCGGAATTACAGGCATGCGCTACCACGCCCACCTGATTTTTTTTATTTATTGTAGAGATGAGGTCTCACTGCCCAGGCAGGTCTTGAACCCGCGGGCTCAGGCAATCCACTCACCTCAGCCTCCCTCATTTTTCCCTTTAAAGTTCAAATAAATATGTATGTTTTTAAAAGTATACAATATTTAATTTTGCATGGTTTGGAAATTTATATACATTGAATCATACCAAATGTATACAGCAATTAAATTTATTCAACTAAAAAAAATAAAAATTAAATTAAAAATTCCCTGGGCATGGTGATGCACACCTGTAGTCCCAGCTACTAGGGAGGCTGAGGCAGAAGGATCGCCTGAGCCCCAGGAGGCTGAAGCTGCCGTGAGCCACAATCATGCCACTGCACTCCAGCCTGGACCACAGAGTGAGACCCATGACTCAAAAAAAAAAAAGAAAAGAAAGAAAGAAAGAAAAAAGAAACAGAAAAGACACATTGTCCTTTTTTCTGAAAAGAAACAAGAGTGTGGGCCGGGCAAGGTGGCTCACTCCTGTAATCTGAGCACTTTGGGATGCCAAGGCAAGATTGCCCAAGCCCATGGGTTCATGACCAGCCTGGGCAATTTGGCAAGGCTTCATCTCTACAATAAATAAAAAAATTAGACGGGCATGGTAGTGTGTGCCTGTAGTTCCAGCAACTTGGAAGGCTGAGGCAGAAGGATCACCTGAGCCCAAGCAGATTGAGGCTGTGGTGGTTGCGAGCATGCCACTGCACTCCAGCCTGGGCAACAGAGTGAGACTCCTACAAGAAAGGAAAGAAAAGAAAGAAAGGAAGGAAGGAAGGAAGGAAGGAAGGAAGGAAGGAAGGAAGGAAGGAAGGAAGAGTGCTACCAGCTAGACAACCAGAATGGAAATCTGGGAGTTATCCTCTGCCCTTTCTCACCCTTCCCCTTCGTCCCTATCATTGATCACATCAAGTTTTCACATATAAAACAGATTAAAAGCAGAGTTGGGCTGAGCATGGTGGCTCAAGCCTGTAATCCCAGTACTTTGGGAGGCTGAGGCGAGAGCATTGCCTGAGCTCAGGGGTTCAAGGCCAGCCTGGGCAAGGTGGTGAGACCTCATCTCTATAATAAATCAAAAAATAAGCCAGATTTGGTAGTGCATGCCTGTAGTTCCAGCTACTTGGGAGGCTGAGGAGGAAAGATCACCTGAACCCAGCAGGTTGAGGCTGCGGTGGTGGTGAGCATACCACTGTACTCCAGCCTGGGTGACAGAGTGAGACTCTAACTCAAAAAAAAAAAAAAAAAAGCAGAGTTGCCCCAGTCGAGCTCTTTCATGCCCACTCAGCCTCTCCTTTAGCCTTCATGGCAGCCCCTAGACACTTCTGCTATCTTAGGGTCCAGCAGGAGACAATTTGAGAACCACAGAACAGATTTCAAACATGATATGATTCGGACTTCCCAGCTAAAAAGATCTGAGTTGGAGTCCTACCTCGGCCATTTTCTAGCTTTATGACCCTAGTACTTACTCTCCCTGAGATTTAGTTTCATCATCTGTCAAACAGGAGTAGTAGAGTCCAGCAACAAAGCTGTTCTGAAGATAAAATCAGTCACTGCTCCTGGCACATAACAGGCACTCAATGCTACTTTCCTTAGCATACTGCTTCTAACTACCCCCTTTTTAGCTTCAATTCTAGCTGTACCCCCTCAAACCCCAAACTTTATGCCATAGATATCCTTACTCACAGTCCCCCCATTACAGTATGCTGTTTCACATTTCCAAAGCTCTTGATCACACTGATTTTTCTACTAAAAACGCTTACCTACCCATTTGTCCAACAAGTAATTTTTCACACTGTCCATTATGTCACCATTGCCTCTTAGTCTCCTATCATATTACATTTTATTGCATTGATTTGTTTACATGTCTATCTCCCTATTTAGAACTTTGAATTTCTAGGGGAAAGGAACAATGTCTACTTGTCCTTGTATCCCCAACACCTAACACAAAGCCTAGAAGATGGTAAGTATTCCATTGATGTTTGCTAAATGACTATAATAGGAAGTGAATTGTAAGTAAAGCAACATTCTTACATTTCTATAGTAAGTTCTCAACACTTACATTAATAATGCAAGCATGTTTTGCAGTGTCACTTTTGGTAATAAAACATCCTATTGGAAATCCTGTTATGCAGGACTTTTTTCCATCTTCCATATCATAACACCATGTCACTGGCATATTGTCGATAATCCTAAGTATAAACATTTGACAAATAAAAGATTTAACAAGCATTTCACATTAAGCAACACTAACATCATCTTACACACATTTAAGTTCAAATGTTTAATCAAAGTCAAGTCACAAAAAAATAGTATACAATTTCAAATATCTTTTAACAGTAATTGTGAGAGAAATTTAAAAATTGTCATGTTATTTCAGATGCCAAACCTACCAGTGATGTTGGTAATTCAGTAGTATTCCTTTCTTCAAAAAAGCCAGCTTACTGTTTTGGTCTTTATTTACTGGATCATAAGATTTTACACAAACTTTTATACATGTTTCTGTTTTGTTAAAAGAAAACTGTTAAGGAAAATTGGAGAATATTAAGAGATTTGACACAATTTTGTAATTCAAATATACAAAATAAGCAATTTGTCTTACAGATGAAACTTTTCTTCAAATACCTCAGTATGCCACCATTCTCTACCCTGTCTCCTCTAAGTTTTAATTCATAACTGAAATGATTACCCTAGACAGACACACACACACCACACACACACACACACACACACACACACACACACACACACTACACTGCCATCATTAAACAGAAGAGTTTGTCTTCTATAATATACAAGGTAGGATATAAAATTCACTATAGCTTCCTTAAAACTACCCTGATATAAAATCCTTCACTCAAAAGACATAAAATTGCTGGGTATGGTGGCTCACACCTGTAATCCCAGCACTTTGGGAGGCGGAGGTGAGAGGACTACTTGAGCCCAGAGGTTTGAAACTAGCCTGGGCAACTTGACAAGACCTCATCTCTACAATAAATCAAAAAATTAACTGCATGTGATGGTGCATGCTTGTAGTTCCAGCTACTTCAAAGGCTAAGGTGGAAGGATGGCCTGAGTCCATTGGGTCTAGGCTGCAGTGGCTGTGAGCGTGTCACTGCACTCCAGCCTGGGCAACAGAGTGAGATTCTGACTCAAAAAAAAAAGATATAAAATTGATTGCAGTGATGGTTGCACAATTCTGTGAATATACTAAAATCCATTGAATTAGACACTTTAAGTGGGTGAGTTATATGGTACATGATTTATCCCTCAATAAAGTTGTTACAAAAAATGCAATAATAAAATATTTGATACTTTTTAATATGAAATCTCTTGTTTACAAGAGAGGATTATCAAGGTAAAGTGTTATTAATCAGGAGATAATGAACAAGAGTAAACAATGAAACAAAAGAGTATTTTTCAGCACCCCCTGCCTTGAGATGATACAAATATTAACCAACAAAAATCCTTATTGGCAGCTGAGCTGTACTACACTGCCAAGTTTCTTCAGCCCAAGGGACAGCATTTCTTGATTAGGTACACTTTTCTTTTAGAACAATGGCATTCCACATGGGTATTGTGTGCAATTTTAATCATCAAAAAGCCAATGCCTGGCCGGGCACAGTGGCTTAAGCCTATAATACCAGCACTTTGGGAGTCCAAGGCGAGAGGATTGCCTGAGCCTACAGGTTTGAGACCAGCCTGGCAATATGGTGAGACCTCATCTCTACAATAAATCAAAAAAATTAGCTGGGCATGGTAGTGTGTTCCTATAGTTCCGGCTACTTGGAAGGCTGAGGCGGAAGGATTGCCTGAACCCAGCAGGTTGAGGTTGCAGGGTGGCCAGGAGTGTGCCACTGCACTCCAGCCTGGGCAACGGAGTGAGACTCCAACTCAAAAAAAAAAAAAAAAAAAAAAGCTAATGCTTGACACACAAATCAACGTAACAGATCAATAGATAACTCAGAAATACACCCATACAATTATGCCCAAGTGATTTTTTACAAAGGTGCAAAAGCAATTCAATGGAGGAAGGATAGCCTTTTCAACAAATGGCACAGAAGTAATTAGACAGGAACAGGAAAAAAATTGACCTCAACCTAAATTTCACATCTTATACAAAAAAATTCAAAATGAATGACAGACTTAAATGTATAAAGAAAAATTATAAAACTTTTAGAGGAAAGCATAGAAGAAAATCTTTAGGACCTATATCTGTGGAAAGTCTTCCTAGATTTGACATCAAACATACAATCCATAAAAGGAGACATTGATAATTGAACCTCATAAAAATTTTAAACTTTTGCTTTGTGAAGACTGTTAGAAAGATGAAAACGCAAGCTATGGACTGAGAGAAATTGTTTGCACACCACTGTTGCAACAAAGGACTTGTATCTAGAATATATTAAAAGTCTGAAAACTCAATAAAAGAACAAATAATCTAATTAGAAAATGGGCAAAAAGTGAAACATTTCACTGAAGAGGATATACATATGGCTAACAAGCACATGAAAAAATGTTCAACGTCATTAGTCGTTCCAGCTTCTTGGGAGGCTGAGGTGAGAGAATTGCTTAAGCCCAGGAATTCGAGGCTGTGGTGAGCCATAATTGTGCCACTTCATTCCAGTCTGGGTGACAGAGTGAGACCCTGACTCAAAAACATAAAATAAAATAAAACCACAATGAGATATCACAATACACCTACCAAAATGACTAAAATAAAAAATAATGGAAATACCAAGGGCTGACAAATATACAGAGAAACTGGATCATTCATGCATTGCTAGTGGGAATGTAAAATGGCACAGCCACTCTGGAAAACAGGCAACTTCTTACAAAACTAAACGTGCAACGGTTGTATGACCCAGACATTGAACTCTTCGATGTTTATCTCAGAAAAATGAAAAGCAATCTGCACCAAAATCTACAGATAAATGTTCATAGCAGCTTTATTCATAGAATTCAAAAGCTGCAAATGGCCCAAATATCCTTCAATGGGGTAAATAGGTGCTTTTTGTTATTTATTTTATTTTATTTTATCATTTTATTTTATTTTTAGTTGGAGTCTCACTCGTCGCCCAGGCTGAAGTGCAGTGGCACACTCACTGCCACCCCAGCATCAACCTGCTGGGTTCAGGCAATCCTTCCCTTTCAGCCTTCCAAGCAGCTGGAACCACAGGAGTGCACTACCATGCCCGGGTAATTTTTGATTTATTGTAGAGACGAGGTCTTGCCAAGTTGCCCGGGGCCAGTCTAGAACCCGCGAGCTCAGGCAATCCACTCGCCTCAGCCTCCCAAAGTCCTGGAATTACAGGTTGAGCCATCGAGTACAAATTGGTACATCTTTGCCATGGAATTTTACTTGCCAATACAAAGGAATGAACTACAGGTGTTAATATACATACATCCCAGATGGATCTTAAGGGAAATATGCCAAGTGAAAGAAGCCAATCCCCAAAAGTCACATACTATATAATTCCACTCATATAAAATTCTTATTTTTATAGATTTAAGAGGTACAGATGCAGTTTTGTTACATGAATATGACTCATATTGTGTAGTTGTGAGGTCTGTGATATTAGTGTACCCATCACCTGAATAGTGAACATTGTACCCAGTAATTTCTTATTCTTTGCTCCCCCCCACCCTTCCAAGTCTCTGTTGTCTATTATCCCACTCTCTATGACTGCATATTATTGAGTTCCCACTTATGAGAACATGTGGTATTTGACTTTCAGTTTCTGAGTTATTTCACATGATAATGACCTCTCATCCTGTCCATGTTGCTGCAAATGACAGGATTTCATTCTTCCGGTCATATAAAATTGTTATTTTTTTAGTTGGAGTCTCACTGTGTCACCCAGGCTAGAATGCAGTGGCACGCTAATGGCCACCACAGCCTCGATCTGCTGGGTTCAGGCAATTCTTCCCTTTCAGCCTTCCAAGTAACTGGAACCACGGCGCGCGCCACCACACCCAGCTAATTTTTTTATTTATTGTAGAGACCAGGTCTCGCCAAGTTGCCCAGACTGGTCTCCAACCCCTGGACTCAGGCAATCCTCTCACCTCAGCCTCCCAAAGTGCTGTGATTACAGGAGTGAGCCACCACCCCCAGCTCATATAAAATGCTTGAAATAACAACATTGTAGAAATGGAGAAGAGATCAGTGTTTGTCAGGGGTAAGAAATGTTCAAAAGGGCTGAGGGCAGCCATAAAGAGGAAACAAAAAGGAGCCTTGTGTTGATGGAATTATTTTGCATCTTGATTATTTTGATTGTGATGGTAGTTACATGAATCTGAACAGGTGATAAAATTACAAAGAATCTCCTGCTCCCTCACCACCACCCCTACCCACCCCTCCACTCCCCCCCACACATACACAAGTGCATGTAAAACTAGAAAAATATGAATAAACTCTGTGCACTGTACCAATGGCAATTTTCTGGTTTTGATATTATACTATAGTCATGCAAGATGTTACCATTGGGCAAATCTGGGTGAAGGATACATGGGACCTCCCTGTCACTTTTTATTTTTTTGCAACTTCCTGTGAATCTATAATTACTTCAGAATAAATACGTTTTATTTATTTATTTATTTTTTGGTTTTTTGAGTCGGAGTCTCACTCCGTCACCCAGGCTGAAGTGCCGTGGCAAGCTCAGTCACCCCAGCGTCAACCTGCTGGGCTCCAGCAAACCTTCCACCTCAGGCTTCCAAGTAGCTGGAACTACAGGCATGCACTACCATGCCTGGCTAATTTATTATTATTATTATTGTAGAGACAAAGTCTCACCAAGTTGCCCAGGCTGGTCTGGAACCCATGGGTTCAAGCAATTCACTCACCTCAGCCTCCCAAAGTGCTGGGATTACAGGCTGAGCCACGGAGCCCAGCCAATAGGTTTTATTTTAAAGTTAATGCTTTATCATTTCATAAGTGTATACATATATTAAAACTGATCTAGCTGGATGCAGTGGCTCACACCTGTGATCCCAGTACTTTGGGAGGCCAAGGCGAGAGGATTGCCTGAGTCCAGGGTTTTGAGACCAGCCTAGACAACTTGGAGAGACCTCGTCTCTACAATAAATTTTCTAAAAATTAGCCAGGTGTGGTGGCACACGCCTGTAGTTCCAGCTACTTGGAAGGCTGAAATGAAAGGATTGCCTGAGCCCAGGAGGTCAAGTCTGCCATGGCTATGAGTGTGCCACTGCACTCCAGCCTGGGTGACAGAAGGAAACTTTGGCTCAAAAAAAAAAAAAAAAAACTGATCTAATTATGCACTTTTACTTATTTATTTTTTATTTTTATTTTTATTTTTTTGAGTCAGTCTCCCTCTGTTGCCCAGCCTGGAGTACAGTGGCACACTGCTCATGGTCACTGCAACCTCAACCTGCTGGGCTCAGGTGATCCTTCTGCTTCAGCCTTCCAAGTAGCTGGAACTACAGGCACAGGCCACCATGTTTGGCTAGTTTTTGTAATTTATTGTGGAGACAGGTCTCGTCATGTTGCCCAGGAAGGTCTCGAACCCCTGGACACAGGCAATCCTCTCACCTCAGCCTTCCAAAGTGCTAAGATTATAGGCATAAGCCACCGCACCCAGCCTAATTATGTACTTTAAATATGTGCGGTTTACTGTACTTCAATTATACTTGTAGTTCAATAAAATTGGGGAAAAGGCTGGGTGCAGTGCTCATGCTATAACCCCAGCACTTTGGGAGGGCAAGGTGAGAGGATTGCCTGATCACGCAGGTTTGAGACCAGCCTGGGCAACTCAGCGAGACCTCATCTCTACAATAAATCACAAATTAGCCAGGCGTGGTGGCACATGCCTGTAGTTCTAGCTACTTGGAAGGCTGAGGTGGAAGGAACGGCTGAGCCCAGTTGGTCAAGGATGCAGTGGCCATGAATGTGCCACTGCACTCC